TTCCTAACAAATGGGAGGACCTTGTTCATTTTAATCAACTGGTGCATTCTCAGTGTTCTAATGAGGAAAGATGAAGTGTCTGCATCCCTTTAGAAGTGATAAACTTTTGGGGAGTATCTCACCAGAACTTACATTTATATTGCAGAGGATGCGAAAAAAAACTTACTTGTGTCTTAGTGCAGACTACTGGGAAAATCAGTAAGCCAATCACACAAACAGGAAATTACATTTTTGAAGGTATCAACGGAACAGAACGCCTCCAGGTTGTCATTGCGTTGAATTATACAGAAAATTACAGTGCTGCAGATTGAAAAGGAAATGTAATGTGAAAAACCAATAAATTACAACATGGCTTGTGTAGCAATTGTATATACTACATTAATACCTCAGTTCACGAACTTAATTCGTTCAACGACTCTGGTCTAACCAAGGAAAATGTTCCCATAGGGTTCAATGTAAATCAGGTTAAACCGTTCTGACCCCTACGAACGTGGTCGCGAACCGAAGTTGGTCGCCAACTGAATCAAATTTTCCCATAAGGTTCAAAATAAATAAAGGTTAATCCATTCTGAGCTTTTTTTTACAGTACAATACACTATGAAGAGAGAGAACAATAACCTTGCTTGAGACGACTTCTGGCGTGGAGGACAGGAAGGCGGGTGGGAGGTGGTTATTGTTCAGAGGGAGAGTCCCCCTCTATAAGGACATTGGGGAGATCTCCTTCAGGGGTTTCCTCTCTTCTTTGTCTCTTAGCTGCAGGCTCAGTTTTGGTGAAAAATCTGTCCAATGTCACTTGTCTTTTGCTGTGCTGCATAAGCCTCCGGAAATGAAAAACCATGTTATCGTTCATCAGATTCAACACTCTGTTTGTTACAGTTATGTTGGGATGGTGCTTCTGGTCACCTTCATTATCGCTCTGCACGTTCTGGTCACCTTCATTACTGCTCTGCATGTTCTGGTCACCTTCATTACCGCTCTACACATTTTTGTCACCTTCATTACTGCTCTGCATGTTCTGGTCACCTTCATTACTGCTCTGCACATTCTGGTCACCTTCATTACTGCTCTGCATGTTCTGGTCACCTTCATTACCGCTCTACACATTTTTGTCACCTTCATTACTGCTCTGCATGTTCTGGTCACCTTCATTACTGCTCTGCATGTTCTGGTCACCTTCATTACTGCTTTGCACGTTCTGCTCACCTTCATTACTGCTCTGCACGTTCTGCTCACCTTCATTACTGCTCTGCACGTTCTGCTCACCTTCATTACCGCTCTGCACGTTCTGCTCACCTTCATTACCGCTCTGCACGTTCTGCTCACCTTCATTACCGCTCTGCACGTTCTGCTCACCTTCATTACCACTCTGCACGTTCTGCTCACCTTCATTATCACTCTGCACGTTCTGGTCACCTTCATTACCGCTCTGCATTTTCTGGTAACCTTCATTACCGCTCTGCACATTCTGCTCACCTTCATTACCGCTCTGCACGTTCTTGTCAGCTTCATTTCCGCTGTACACATTCTTGTCACCTTCATTACCGCTCTGCACATTCTGGTCACCTTCATTACCGCTCTGCACATTCTTGTCACCTTCATTATCACTCTGCACGTTCTGGTCACCTTCATTACCGCTCTGCACATTCTTGTCACCTTCATTTCCGCTCTTTACATTCTTGTCACCTTCATTACCGCTCTGCATGTTCTGGTCAGCTTCATTACCGCTCTGCATGTTCTGGTCACCTTCATTACCGCTCTACACATTCTGGTCACCTTCATTATCACTCTGCACGTTCTTGTCACCTTCATTACCGCTCTGCACGTTCTTGTCACCTTCATTATCGCTCTGCACGTTCTGGTCACCTTCATTATCGCTCTGCACGTTCTGGTCACCTTCATTACCGCTCTGCACGTTCTGGTCACCTTCATTATCGCTTTGCACGTTCTGGTCCCCTTCATTATCGCTCTGCACGTTCTGGTCACCTTCATTACCGCTCTGCACGTTCTGGTCACCTTCATTACCGCTCTGCACGTTCTGGTCACCTTCATTACCGCTCTGCACGTTTCTGGTCACCATCATTACCGCTCTGCACGTTCTGGTCTCCTTCATTACCGCTCTGCACATTCTGGTCACCTTCATTATCGCTCTGCACATTCTGGTCACCTTCATTACCGCTCTGCACATTCTGGTCACCTTCATTACCGCTCTGCACGTTCTTATCACCTTCATCACCGCTCTGCACGTTCTGGTCACCTTCATTATCACTCTGCACGTTCTGGTCACCTTCATTATCGCTCTGCACGTTTTGGTCTCCTTCATTATCGCTCTACACATTCTGGTCACCTTCATTACCACTCTGCACGTTCTGGTCACCTTCATTACCGCTCTGCACATTCTGGTCACCTTCATTATCACTCTGCACGTTCTGGTCACCTTCATTATCGCTCTGCACGTTTTGGTCTCCTTCATTATCGCTGTACACATTCTGGTCACCTTCATTACCACTCTGCACGTTCTGGTCACCTTCATTACCGCTCTGCACATTCTGGTCACCTTCATTATCACTCTGCACATTCTGGTCACCTTCATTATCACTCTGCACGTTCTGGTCACCTTCATTATCACTCTGCACGTTCTGGTCACCTTCATTACCGCTCTGCACATTCTGGTCACCTTCATTATCACTCTGCACGTTCTGATCACCTTCATTATCGCTCTGCACGTTCTGGTCACCTTCATTATCACTCTGCACGTTCTGGTCACCTTCATTATCACTCTGCACGTTCTTGTCACCTTCATTATCACTCTGCACATTCTGGTCACCTTCATTATCACTCTGCACGTTCTGATCACCTTCATTATCGCTCTGCAGGTTCTGGTCACCTTCATTATCACTCTGCACGTTCTGGTCACCTTCATTATCACTCTGCACGTTCTGGTCACCTTCATTATCACTCTGCACGTTCTGGTCACCTTCATTATCACTCTGCACATTCTGGTCACCTTCATTATCACTCTGCACGTTCTGGTCACCTTCATTACCCTTCTGCATGTTCTGGTCACCTTCATTATCGCTCTGCCCTTTCTTTTCAACAACATGCTTGCTCTGCACATTCTTGTCACCTTCATTACTTCTCCGCACTTTCTTCTTACCACCATGCTTGCTCTGACTTTTCTTTGGAGCCATACTGGATGTCCAGTACAGTATGTGTTAAAAAAGCACACAAAACAACTTTACAGTAAATGTGCACAGGGATGTACAGTACAGTATGTGCTAAAAAGCACACCAAAAAGCTTCTCAGTACAGTAAGTTTCTTCACAGTACACTTTCAGTGTCTGTTTGTGACCGCAATCTCGCCTACAGGAAGTTAGGACCACGTGTCAGAGCAGGGAAGATGGCCATGGCTCGTGGTCGTCAACCAAAGCGGAGTTCGTGAACTGGAGCAAATTTTTGTGAACTCTTCTGTTCGCAAACCGAGTTGTTCGTGAACAGAAGCTTTCGTGAACTGAGGTTTCACTGTATATTATTTCTTTTTATTTGCTATGATTTTTTTCCATGAAAGTGGAGTTATGCTTTAAAACTGTGCTCCACATTTTACAGCTAGGTTGTTAAATAGATGTCTATTTTCAATAACAACTTACTAAATATCCTACCTATTCTTTTATTCCAGGAAGCCAAACACTGTATGTCTATGGCTATCCAAGAAACCATGTGGATGTGTTAAGTCCAGAAAGTTCACAAATACAACAAATATAAATCAAAATCTCAAGTGGGGATTATTTACTAAAAGATGGGGAGTGCAAAATCAGGCTCACTTCTGTACAGAAACCAACCAGCTTTCAGGTTTTATTGCCAAAGCTTAATTAAACAAACTGAGGTTAGAAGCTGATTGATGCTTTAGTATATAAACCCGTGTGTGTAATTCACCACTTGTGGTGTGCAACGACCTATCTGCTCCCTGTATCACTAACCTCGGTCAAACTTTCAAGCCAGGTTTGAAAGGTAACTCCACTTTCCTGGGAAACAAAATCTGCAAAAAAAAAAGCTGTTATAGTGTATACAAGTCATATAGTATCGGAATGTTATTAAAAATTATCTTTCCTTTTCAATTGGCAGCACTGTAATTTTTTGTAAAATACAATTGAGTATGGCAACCTGGAGGCATTCTGTACACAGATGGCGTTCAGAACAGCTCCCCCCCCAAACATCATATCCTGCTGGGGTGATTGGCTTACTGATTTTCATCCCCTGTAACAACAATGTCATTTGGTGAGATACTCCCAAAGAGAAATCACGTCAAACACCCCGGTCACATCAAACACAACTTTGAAATCATGCAACTTACAGTGAAGTTTCAAAATTTCAAAGTCGGGTGACTTGCCAATTTCAGGTGCGATTTGCAAGACATCTGACACAGATGTCTATGCAAATCGCACCAAAAGTAGTGCATGTACTACTTTATAAATTGGTACAGCTCCGACCAGGTCGGAACCGCACTGATATGACTGCTGTAATTGTGGACAATAGGGTGCGACTTAGCATGCAATTTGCAAGTCGCATGGCATGCAAGTCGCATACCAATTCGCATCCAGTGTGACCGGGGTGTAAAGGGATGCAGACCCTGCTGCTTCCCTCATTAGAGCCCTGCAGGTGCAGCAGTTGATTGATAATTATGAAACTGCTTCCATACAGATTCATTCTGCATATGGACACAAGAAAACAGCTATTTCTTCAGAATAACAAAAGCTAGGAATCTGCAACAAAGTTTGTTAACCACCTTCCGCCCACCCTATAGTACAATGACGGGCGCAAGGTGGTTCTCTCGTTCTGATAGGATGTCATATGACGTCCTACCATTCTCACTGTGCATGCGCGGCTCAGGGAGCGTGCAGCGCGGTGATCCCTCGGACACAGCGGATCACGGTAAGAGCCGAAGATGTCGGCTCGGTCATGTGATCAGCTGTGTCCAATCACAGCTGATCACATGTAAACACGGAAATGCCGGTTATCGGCATTTCTCTCCTCTCGAGCTGTCACGCTGACAGCTCGAGAGGAGAGCCGGTAATCGGCTTTCCACGGAGGGGACTTGTACACTGATCATCAGGGCACTGATTATCAGTGTGCCCTGATGATCAGTGTGGCCCCAGAAGTGCCACCTGTCAGTGCTCATCAGTGCCACGTGCCAGTGCCCATCAGTGCCACGTGCCAGTGCCCATCAGTGCCACATCAATGCCACATAGTGCATACTAGTGCACATCAATGCCACATATCAGTGCCCATCTGAGCTGCCTTTCAATGTCACCCATCAGTGCCAGTCAGTGCCACCTATCAATGCCAATCAGTGCCACCTAACAGTGTTTCCAATCAGTGCCACCTATCAGTGCCAGTCAGTGTCGCCTATCAGTGCCAGCCAGTGCCGCCTACCAGTGCCAGTCAGTGCCGCCTATCAGTGCCAGTCAGTGTTGCCTATCAGTGCCTCCTATCAGTGTCATGTATCAGTGTCATGTATCAGTACTGCCTTTCAGTGCCCATCAGTGATGCCTGTCAATGCCCATCAGTGCAACCTACCAGTGCCTCCTTATCAGTGCCCATCAGTGCCACCTATCAGTGCCCATCACTGCAGCCTCATTAGCGCACATCAGTGAAGGAGATAAATCACTTATTTACAAAATTGTATAACAAAAACTAAGAAAAAACGTCTTTTTTTTTTTTCAAAATTTTCAGTGGTTTTTGGTTTAAGAAAAAATAAAAATCCTAGAGGTGATTAAATACCACCAAAAGAAAGCTCTGTCACAAAAATATGATAAAAATTTCATATAGGTACAGTGTTACATGACTGCGCAATTGTCATTCAAAGTGTGACAGCGCTGAAAGCTGGAAATTGGCCTGGGCAGGAAGGGGGTATAAGTGCCCTGTAGGCAAGTGGTTAAAATCCTTGCAATGTACACAGATCACCCAGAGGGGAATGTTTTTGGTCAGCAAAAGTGGCGTTTTCTTTAAATGTGATTATTGGCTGTAAAAAAAACCCGTAATACTGGCTTTTTTAATATTAGCTGTTCATTACAGAATGAAAGTACTGACTTCATTATGGGCTCTTTTACACATGCAGCCAGGGGGCGGTAAAAACAGGTGGCTGTGCAGTGTTTTTACCACCCCCAAGCTGCCCACTGGAATTCTACCATTACAGCCCCATGGAGCCATTGTTGTGATGCTTTGTTTTCAGACCACTGCATTTTTACCTTGACCTGCAGAGCTTGACAGGCGCCACCACCTATCAAACTCATTCACTGAGATCAGTGGGGCTCGATTACAACCACGAGGCAAATGTTGGGCTGGCAATTGCTGCACAGTCTCACAATGTAAAATTTGCTGTTTGGCAATTTAAAAAAAAAAGAAGTAGTAAACAACAAAAAAACAGACATTAGGAGGCAGTAATAGGGCCTCTTGAATGGCTATCAGCCATTGCTAGGGCAGTATGGAAAGGCATGAGGAAAATCAAGAAACCACCAATCTTTCTGACCGATTAGAGTTCATTTATTAAGAATTTGAAGTGAGCCGATGTTTTGGAGATCTGAGTTCCTTTCCGTAGGGCTGAATGCTATAGTAAATAGAAGGTAGCAGGTGGAAGGCTTAGAATATCATCTAATAATGTGGCCAAACTCCAGCAGATACACAGTGACAGCTGATTAGCATTAAAACAGAGATGGTGTTGCACCGAATGTAAAAGGTATTGAGCACTTTTAGAGAGCTATAGTATTCAGCCATAAAGAGGGAGGCACAGATCCTCGAAACACATGGGATCCCTTCAAACCCACAATACATTCATCTACAGCAGAGGTGGTCAACTTTCTTGATATCTAGCCAAAGGGCCGCACATAAACTTCAGTGAATATTTAGTGTCAGAGACAGAAGAAACACAACAGGATATATTCAAAGACTATGGGCATGGCACAAGAGATGATCAGAGACTGCGAACAGGATACAAGTGAAGGTCAGAGACTACGGATATAATACAAGAGATGGCCAGAGACTGCAAACAGAATAAAGGAGATGATCAGAGACTGTGGACAGGATACAAGTGAAGGTCAGAGACTGCGGATATAATACAAGAGATGGCCAGAGACTGTGGATATGGTACTGGAGATCTTCAGAGAATAAAGACATAATGAAAGATATGGTCAGAGACTGCAGACATGATACAAGAGATAGTCAGAGACTGTAGACATGATACAAGAGATAGTCAGAGACTGCAGACATGATACAAGAGATAGTCAGAGACTGTAGACATGATACAAGAGATAGTCAGAGACTGTAGACATGATACAAGAGATAGTCAGAGACTGCAGACATGATACAAGAGATAGTCAGAGACTGCAGACATAATACAAGAGATAGAGACTTTCAACATTGTACAGGTGATGGTCAGAGGTTGCAAACATGATACAAGAAATGGTCAGAGACTGCAGACATGACACAAGAGATGGTCAAACACTGAGGACGTGCTTCAGGGGATTGTCACAGACTGTGAACATGCTATAGGAGGTGCTGCAGACTGGGGACATGTGTCAGGAGACAGTCATAGACTGGAGACTTCTAGAAGTCACTGCTATAACTGGGTAATAGGGATGCACAGATTAGTGTCTGCAGGGGCCCTAAGGAAAGACCAAATGAGGCCCCTGGGCCACAGGTTGGGCAATAGGGATCTATACTTCTTTTACCAAAAACTTTTATTAAGTATGTTAAAAGAAACATACAAACCATGACAAATTGTATGATACAAAGCGACAACAAACAAGATACACATACAAAATCCACGCTGGGGTCCAGATAACACTATGGAAGGCAAAGAGATATAAAAGCTACATACAAAAATGCAGCAAAAAGAAAACACACAGAGAGCATGGATCTATATGTCTATCGCCCATCTTGTTAGTGTAGTGTGTGTGTATATATATATATATACAGTATATATACAGGTGAAACTTGAAAAATTAGAATATCGTGCAAAAGTTCATTTATTTCAGTAATACAACCTAAAAGTTGAAACTAATATATGAGATAGACTCATTACATGCAAAGCAAGATAGTTCAAGCCGTGATTTGTCATAATTGTGATGATTATGGCTTACAGCTCATGAAAACCCCAAATCCACAATCTCAGAAAATTAGAATATTACATGCAATCAATAAAACAAGGATTGTACATAGAACAATATCGGACCTCTGAAAAGTATAAGCATTCATATGTACTCAGTACTTGGTTTGGGCCCCTTTTGCAGCAATTACTGCCTCAACGCAGCATGGCATGGAAGCTATCAGCCTGTGGCACTGCTGAGGTGTTATGGAAGACCAGGATGCTTCAATAGCGGCCTTCAGCTCTTCTGCATTGTTCCGTCTCATGTCTCTCATCTTTCTCTTGGTAATGCTCCATAGATTCTCTATGGGGTTCAGGTCAGGCGAGTTTGCTGGCCAATCAAGCACAGTAATCCCACGGTCATTGAACCAGGTTTTGGTACTTTTGGCAGTGTGGGCAGGTGCCAAGTCCTGCTGGAAAATGAAGTCAGCATCCCCATAAAGCTCGTCTGTGGAAGGAAGCATGAAGAGCTCCAAAATCTCCTGGTAGATGGCTGCTTTGACCCTGGACTTAATGAAGCACAGTGGACCAACACCAGCAGATGACATGGCTCCCCAATTCAACACAGACTGTGGAAACTTCACACTGGACTTCAAGCATCTTGCAGTGTGTGCCTCTCCATTCTTCCTCCATACTCTGGGTCCTTGGTTTCCAAATGAGATGCAAAAGTTGCTCTCATCAGAATAGAGGACTTTGGGCCACTGAGTAACAGACCAGGTCTGTTTTTCTTTAGCCCAGGTAAGATGCTTCTGATGTTGTTTGTTGTTCAGGAGCGGCTTGACAAGAGGAATACGACATTTGAAGCCCATGTCCAGGATCCTTCTGTGTGTGGTGGCTCTTGATGCACTGACTCCAGCCTCAGTCCACTCCTTGTGAAAGTCCTCAACACTTTTGAATGGCCTTTTCCTGACAATCCTCTCCAGGCTGCGGTCATCCCTGCTGCTTGTGCACCTTTTTCTTCCATACTTTTCCCTTCCACATAACTTTCTATTAATGTGCTTTGATACAGCACTTTGGGAACATCCAACTTCTTTTGCAATTACCTTTTGAGGCTTTCCCTCCTTATAGGAGGGTGTCAATGATGGTTTTCTGCACAACTGTCAGGTCAGCAGTCTTTCCCATGATTGTGATTCCTACTGAACCAGACTGAGAGACCATTTAAAGGCTCAGGAACCCTTTGCAGGTGTTATGGCTTAATTAGCTGATTAGAGTGGGACACTTTGAGCCGAGAATATTGCAGCTTTTCACAATATTCTAATTTTCTGAGATTGTGGATTTGGGGTTTTCATGAGCTGTATATCATGAGTCTATATCATATATTAGTTTCACCTTTTAAGTTGCATTACTGAAATAAATGAACTTTTGCATGACATTCTAATTTTTCGAGTTTCACCTGTATATACACTGGACTTTTAAAGGAAATGTATGGGGTATAGAAAAATTATAAAACTTACCTCCATGCTTCAGCTATCCCCCACCAGTTCTAGGCCTGAGAACTGAACAATCAAATGACAACCAATCACTCAGTTCTCAGTCTAGTTGGAGGGGAAAGCAGTGACTGTCAGTCACCGCTCCCTGCTCAGCCCCTCCAGCGCTCACTGGAGTGCTGGGCTGCTTAGGGCTAGGCGCAATTGGCTTTGGCTGCATGCTGAGAGCCAGAGCCAGCTGTCATCCATGAAGTATGGTCAGGATCCTTCCAGAGCCTGGAAGCGGCTCTATGACATCAACTGATAACGGCTTTTAGTCTGCTGTTGGATGATTTCGGGTTACAGGAGAGCAAAAGTAACTGCACTCCTGTGACCCGGAAGAGAGGTATAGTCACAAAAAGCTTTGGCCATACTTCTCTTTTAAAGCATGGCAATTTGTTATTGTGGTAAGAGTTACTTGAAATATATATATATTACAAACAGTGCTGGGACAACGTCCTCTAGAGCCCAGGGGTGAATATGCCAAATTTCGCTCCCCCCCAGATGTTTGCATTATGCGTCAGCAAAAATCCCCTCCAAAAAAATATCAAGCATTAATTTGCATGCTTACACCCTAGACATAAATTCCCCCCCTCCTCCCAGTACAGATTTGTCACCCTCCTGAAATCCCCCCTCCCAGCACAAAGCTGTGTTACCTTCATCTCTCAGCAAATCCTCTCTCTCTCCATATGTCCCCAGCACAAATCCTCCCCCCCCGAAAAAAAAAAAAATCCCTTCCTAGCACAAATCCTCTAACCCTCAAATTTCCCCTCTGAGCACAAATCCTTCCCCCACTATAAATCCCTCCTTCCAGCACAAATTTGTAGCACAATTACCCCCCCCAAATTTCTCCTCCTAGCACAAATACCCCCCAATCCTCCCTACTAGAACAAATCCCCCCTACAAATAATTTCCAATCCTAGTACA